CGGCAGTCGCCTAGAGTCAGAAGAGGCGAAATGCCACACAAATATGTACTGGTATAGATTGCGTACATGGCACGTCGCGGAAGACATGACGTAGAATAGTTTTTGAGCCGCGTGCACTTGGCGCAGTTTCATAGCGACCACAAGCGCGGTTTCCTTGGTCTACTCCGTGTGTCAACCACAGCAAAACACACACAAGCCGCGCGTACGGCATTGCACAGCTGGGGGTCGATGCCACGGGCATGCAGAAGCTTGTCCAGGATCCAGTACTGCGTGTGACGGACGGCGATATGCAAGAGACTGTCGCCCGTCTAGTCCGCACGAGCTCATTGGCAAACCCGTGCCATGCATACAATCGACACGGTGTCCATACCTCGTCCGAAATCGTATTGGGATTGGCGTTCGCGTTCAGCAGCGACTGCAGCGTCAGTATGTCGCCCGACACGACGCTCTGGAGCAGCAGCTTTGTCGTTCGAGGCGAATCAGGAGCGCCGATGATCGACACGCTGGCGCCGATGCTGGCCCCCAAAATACCGAGAATCTCTTCGTTTTTGAGCTCTCTCGCCAGCATGTACGGCGTCTTGTGGTCCTAAAACGCATGTTATCACTCAAGCGGCCAAAGAGAGCATGTTTCAACGCTGTCCTCGCACTTGGCGCTTGCTCCAGCGCCCAAGAGCACCTCGACGACGCGGGAATGGCCAGCGGCGACGGCCGCATGCAGCGGTGTCTGCTGTGTCTACACCGTGGTGTTGGATTTATAGTGGGCAGTGAACGCTAGAAGGGACCTCTGTCGCCAGCGTCACGTCTGCGTTGGCGCGAAGAAGCTGTTGCACGACAGTAAGATGTCCATGGGCGGCGGCCACATACAGCGGCGTTGATCTCGTCTACGACAAGACGGATAGAATCGTCAGATAGAGAGTAAGGCACATGCATGATTACACTGTCAAGAGCATCAACTTCGATACTTGGCTGGTCGAGAAGACGTTGGACGATGGCGTCCGAGCCATGAGCAGCTGCCACGTGCAGGAGATAGCTTCCGTCCTATATTTACAACGATGTAGAAGTCAAAAGTGTCGTCGGGCGCTGCTGAAATACGTTGATGCGGGCTTTGGCTTTGGCCAAGAGAAACGAAACACCGACGCCGGCGGTATTCGGCAAAGGTGCTTGCTGCTAGAAGTCGTGAGTCGGTCGATACTGGAAGTGAGAGCGGTGTGCCTTGAATAGGGCATTGGGGTCGGCTCCACTGCGGAGCAGATTGGTCACTTGTGTGATGTTATCAGTGGCGACTGCCTCCGAGATGGACATCTATTATCCAAAACTCATAAATTGAAACAGTCACTGCAACAATTACCGTCTCGTTGGTCCCCTTGTCAGGAACTGCAGCATTTGGATGAAGTGCTTGTTCGAGCACGGCCATAACCTCCACATGCCCTTTAGCTTTGGCAGCCGAGTAAGGCGAATCGTGTGTCTATTCGCGCCAGAGAAAGTGAATGTAATCGTTGCAAGTTGCACACAAGTGTACGTAGTTGGCAATCCCTGGGTCGGCGTGCGCAGCGAGCAAACACTTGACAACGTTGACGTGTCCATTTTGCGCGGCGACAAACAGCGCAGTTTCGCAGCTCTATATAATGCTACTGAATGCACGAAACGATGCATCAAGGTACCTCGGTTTGTGCGTTAATGTCGGCATTTGCAGCTAATAACGTCACGACGACTTGCTCGCTACCTTGTAAAGCAGCGCAGTGTAGAGGGGTCCACTTATCCTACACCATGGCACATCAGCCCTGCACTCGGGCCGAACGTGTTCTACCTCGCCGAGGCTGTTTACAGCGGCTTTTGCAGCCAATAACATCGCGACGACGCTATCGTGACCTTGGACAGCAGCGCAGTGTAGCGGCGTCATTTTGTTCTGCAACATTGCAATAAGAACTGTGATCGAATGGTGACGTTGTCTACCTCGGCGAGGCTGTCCACAGTGGCATTTGCAGCCAATAACATCGAAACGACTTGCTCATGACCTTGGACAGCAGCGCAGTGTAGCGGGGTTATTTTTCTGCAATACTCTCAGAACTGCGATTGTGAGGGACAAGATCTACCTCGTCGAGGCTGTCCACAGCGGCATTCGCAGCCAAAAGTAACAAAACGACGCTATCGTGACCGCGGAGGGCAGCGAGGTGCAGAGGTGTACGCTGGTTCTGCATCGTTTTTCAAGCGGCTGAACATCCAAAATGAATAGAGGCACCGTATTGCGGCAGTCCACGATAGCTTGTGCGTCGAGAAGCAGCGAGACGAGGCTTGTATGACCGTGGTTGGCGGCGTAGTGCAGTGCTGTCCAGTCCCCCTGCTCCAAGTATCGATGAATCACCAACCTCGCTATGCCGCAATGACATATAATACCGTGGATGGCTGGTTGATGTTGGCGTTGGCATCCAGAACCAGCGCAACGACATCGGCATGATTGAATGCCGCGGCCCAATGGAGCGGTGTCCGTTTGGATGCAGACTATCCACATGTCTCAGCTGCTCCCTTGTGTGTGACAATATTGTACATTGTCGATCGCGTCGACTTGGATGCGGGGGCGCGCCACGAGCAATCCGACAAGCGCCGTTGAGCCCACGATCGCAGCGAAATGGAGAGGTGTGAATCCGTCCTGTTTGGGGTCGACTCAGTATTCTAGGACGAGGCAGGCATGCCGTACCGTCAACACGTCCTTCTCGGTGGTTGGATCGGTCCACGTCATCGGCAACGCCACGTCCCACTCTTCACGCTAGACGCCAGCCACCTTGTAGCATCTAGAACGGCGTTGGTGCACATAGTACCAAGTACGGGATCGTGACGGGGACGTTGGCACGGAGCAGACGCAAGGTCGAGGTCACATCGTTTTTGCTCAGCGCTGTGACGAGCTGCGCCAGGTTGTCCATCGCTTTCTCGAGACATGTGGCGATGGCCGCATGGTCCTTCGCCTTGGCAATGTCCCGGGGCTGGATGTGTTTCTATACGTCATGCTAGAGAAGCGAAGTCGCTCAGACGACTTTACGTCGTTGCGCTGAAAGGGGCTGGCGTCGGCGTCCAAGAGCGCCTTCACAACGCTCGTGTGTCCGTTGGCAGCAGCGGCAAAGAGCGGAGTTGTCTAGGCAGACATGTGTGGCAACGTGGGATACAAGCACGTACGCCGTCTCACCAAATGATGTTCGAGGCAGTGGCAAGGGTTTTGGCCCTTGGTATAATAGTGTGGCATGCGCTAAAAGGCCAGAGATTCGAACCAGATCAAAGCCCATACAACGCGTCAGCGCTTCGGACCACAAGGCGACGCATCGTAGAGCTGCAGAATGCAGCAGTCGACACGACATTTCCCATGCAACCCAACGAGCGTCCCGACGCAACCCCCTCAAACGGGTCTGAGGGGCACAGTTAACGTCCAACTCGGTGCATAGAGACACGCTGCACCCCACGCGCCTTGCCCAAGGTCCTTGGATTCTAGCGCCAAAAGGCTGGTTGTGCCCGCGTTTCCAGCACCAGGAAATGTCAACTGACGTGGCAGTGCACGGGAATTTTGCGGAATCGCGTCGTTGGATTGGCTTAAATAGAAATTCTCGACGCGACGCGCTCCGATTGGTCAAAAGTCCAGATTCGGGTTCTTGAGCATGCTGGACGTCGAGGAAGATCCGACCTGCCGCTTCGTCGACTTCACCAACGAGACGGACTGGGAGCGCTTCATCGCGGGCCTCGAAGAGACGCTGCGGGCGTGGGGCCTCGTCGAGAAGGGCGCAGCGAGCGACGGGCCCAAGGCGCGGATCCTGCCGCTCCAGCAGCGCCACTACCTCCTCGTGCTCCACACGGACGATGCACCGGCGCCGACGTGGACCGACGCCACGCGCCACTTTACGCCGACGATGCTGGCGCTCGCCAACGCGTCGCTCGACGCCGGCGACGCGCGTAGCATGCACCGCTTCTTTGGCGTCGAGAGCCACCTCGTCTTGCACCAGTACAACGCGGCCTTTGGCCTGCCCGACGCCGCCGCCGACACCTTTGCGAGCATCTCGATGGACGCGACGCTCGGCGTCATGGACCACGACGCGCGGACGCTGCTGAGCAGCCTCATCGTTGCGCTGGGCAACTGCAACTGCACCTTGCCGGCCTTCGTGCGCCTCGGCGGCGACGCGCAGTACCTCGGCGCCGCCGTGCCTGGCGCAAGCGGCAACATTGCGCTGCATTTCGAGACTGCGACCGTCCCCGAGGTAGCTGCCTTGTACGTGAAGCTCTCGCGGACTACCTTGTGTTGCAGGTGCCACCGGCGCAGCAGTGTCTCCAAGGCCTCATGGACTTTTTCCAAGCCAAGCTCCAGCTACCGTCCAACGCCGACGAATCGATGCACGATGTGCCTGGCAGCGACTTGCGCCTCGGGCTCTCGGCTGCCGTCGGCTTTGCGTATGCGTGGCACGCTCGGACACTGTCGATTCTACACGAAGAAGACCCGGCGGTACAGCTTCCTCCCTCTCCATCGTCTTATCAACCGAATGCGCGCTCTGTAGACACCATGGCGCGACCCGATTGACGCGCAGCTCCGTCGCAATTTTCCGTTCCAGGCCGTGGTATGGGGTCCCCGCGTGTCGCCGTTGCGGCACTTGCACCTCGCCGTGCGCTGGCCGGCGCTGCGCGAAGGTACTGCCTGGCCCACCGATGCGAATAGCTGCGGCATCCCAAGCTAGGCATGTTTGTCGACAATGTGGTGCACTCGTCGCTCGACCCTGTCCTGGCGCCCGAGTGGTGGGTCTCGCCCGAGTGGGAGATCGACCAGGACGCGCTGCCACTAACGAACTCACTCCGCCAGCTCGTCCAAGCATTCCAGCAGCTCCGGCAAGTGGGCCATGCGCTGCTCGTGTCCGAGATGGCCCTTGGCGACAACCCACTGGTGCGAAGGATCCTTTAACAGCCGTGGTCATTCGAGTCGGCGGATAGGTGTCGCGGTACCAAGAGAGCGTGCCGGCGGCGCGGGCGGCCGTGGCCATTGGTGCGGCCATTGGGTCGTGGGTCAAGTCGACGACGTCGGTCGACGCAGTGCGTGACCACGTCGCCCACCTCTTTACAAGTGCACCAAAGGACGACGTTGATGTGAGTGCGTCGACGTGGTGCACGCTGCCCAAGGTGCGCCATGGCGTCGTGGTCGGCCAGCTCGTGTCGCGGCTCGCCATGCTCTTGGTGCACGAGCGTACGCTTTTCCGACGCTTTAGCGTATGGAGACGCGTGTCCACTCTACTATGGATATGGTAGAGGGCGTCCACATACAGTGCGCGATGTGGGTCGAGTTTGTGCGCTTGCTGCGCGAAACGTGGAAGGCCCAGCTGCTCTTGCCGTGGACCGTATGTACATTTTTGTCCATACCCTGTATGTGCTCCACCGAGGGGTAGGGGATTGGCGTCGACGGTCTCTTGCACCCGGGGGATGTCGACCCGCTCGACGATGTCTCGATGCCGACACCCGATTTCCATTTGAACCTCCTCCACCAAAAGCTACAGATGCTCAACATCTGCATTGCTCGGTATGTCCATCGTGTGGTCCTCATTGTCGTCCATCCTTGGTTGCAATAGGCGTGTACGGTCACCGCTCTCGCGACGACAGAGTCGTGCGACCAGCGACGTCGGTAGCAACGACAGCGACGACGAGTTTTCGATTCGCTGCAAGAGTCGGCGGCTCTCGGTGTGCTCCGGCGCATGGACGATCTGCAGAGCCTTGGCGACTCGACGCGCTGCGTCAACATTCCCAAGACGCAAGACCCCGCGCCATTGACCGAAGACGTGGCCAAGCAGCAGCAAGCGATCCTCGCCAAGTCGTTTCCCCCCCTTTCTACGACCTTTGCTGATGAGCGATATGGTCTAGCCTCGGTGTCTCGGCCGAGTCGACCATGTTGCGGCAACAAATCCAGAGCTCGTCGATGTTGTCCGACATGCAAGCGTTCAAGGTCGTCGTCGTCCTCTTCTTCGGATCCTGGTCTCCTACGTGGTGTGTAGGCCGCCAACCCGGGCACGTGCTTGGCCGACTTTATTCGGTGGTACTCGCCGCGCGACTGGCTGCCGCGGGATCCGCTGGACGAGGCACACGACAGCGACAATATCTCGCGATTTCGCCAAGGCCAGCTCTCGGCCCGCATGCACGAAGCCAATGTCGACGCCCCCACGAACGTGTGGCACCGTCTCTGGGCGTCTGCGGCGCCGGTCCCGGCCGAGAAGCAGCGGTCGCTCTTTAATCCAGTGCTGGAAGCAGAAAAGGTCTTTGACTACCTCGACACCATGTCGCCGCGCGACCTCTTTTACCACCTGCTCGTCGCGACTCTCTCCAATCTGTCTGTGCTCTTCGCCACTTGCCACGACGACCTCCCGGTGGTTGCCATTGCGCAGGCGGCGCTGCAAGACGCGTGCGACAAGGCTGTGAGCGCGCTAGACGACGAAGCCGTGGGCTCGGACGGCAAGCACACGACCGACGACGAGCGCCGCGTGCTCTCTGCGCTCACGGACGATGCGATGGAGAAGGCTCTCGCGGCCTTGCAGCGCGTCGAGGCGCTCGTCGCGTCGGCTGCCAGCGCCGCGCATGTGCTCGAGGGGGCGTCACCTGCGCTGCGCAACGCCCTTCTCTCGAGTACGTCGTCGGTGCGTGTGCCGTCGCCGTCGGACCGCGCGGTGCTTGGCAGCGTGCTGTGGCCACCTGCGCTCGGGAAGCCGTCGCGACCGGTACTTGATTATTTTGCAAGGAATAAAGGATGGGATTTGAACGCTAGGATCGGCGCGAGTATGTGTTGCACGGCGTGGCCCCTCGCCCGTTCTACTGCCCGGTCGATGACCGCGATGGTCGCCACCCGGTGGTTGTCAGCCGCCTCTACGCGCATTTTCAAGAGCACAGCATCCGGTTTGCGACGGCGATGGCCGACACGGAGTTTTAGAAACCGCACCAATATTGTCTATATACACGAATTCATGGACAATAAGGGTATGGATTGTCTCAAAACACTCGACCGACCCCGCCGTTGTAGATCTGGTTGTAGACAGTACTTGCAGCACGAGTAGCTAGGGTAGTTGTATGTGGCTTGAGGTGCGAGGATGGGAGGTGCTCAGACGACGAGCGTGTCGCGATGTTGCGTTTCGCGCAGAAAGCCAGCGGTGCGGGTCCATGAAGCCAGCTGTGTCTAAACGCACGCAATGCTCCCATGGCCATGTCTCTGGCTCGTCGACGCCCACTGTGTCGGTTGTACTAGTACACGGAGCGGCTTCCTACGCACGTACTACCAGCGACGCTTGACCTCAACCCGGCGGCCGTTGAAGGTACCGTTGAAGTCGATTCGATAGCCTTTTCACAATGTGTGGCCACCAAGGCGGCTGCACCGATCAGCGGTGGCGCGTGTCGCGTTGCAGGCAGAAATTTTGAAAAAGTTGGGTGTTTTTACTTTGCCCTTTCGGCGACCTTGCCTTTTTGAAGAAAATCAGTAGTAGGATCATCATATATTCACAGACATTGACATAGGAGGCGGAATCACACGGCGGGGGCCATCTTGGCCGAGTTGGGGCGGAACGAGCGGACGCTCGAGAGCGACATGCGCGCCGGCATCGAATGTCGCGTGTCTTCTTCCTTGGTGAAGCTCGACGGCGTCTTCATCATCTGGCGAAAGCTGTGCGCGTCCATGTTGCGGTCCTGGATCACTTGCCGCTCCTTGGCCTCGGCCTCCTGCTTTTGCCGCAGCAGCATCTCCCACGCCTCCTTGCGCTGCTGCGCACGCAGATTGTTGAACTGCTCGAGCTCGCGCCGCCGAAGCACCTGCTCTTCGCGGAGCCGGATGAAGAGCGGCGACCGCTCGACGTCCAAGTAGCGTGGGCGGACGTACGCGTACTTGGCCTTGCGTGGCGGGCGCGGGATCTCGGGCTGGCTCATCGCATACGACGCGTGGTGCATCGGCGACGACGAGTGGTCTTCGTAGTCGTCGGTGAGCGACGAGGGCTTGGGAGGATGGTGGTCGCCCGACGACGACGCGACCGACTTGGCCTCTTCGGTCGAGCTCTCTTCGATGGGCTCCATCTCGGCCTCGACCTCCTTGGGCAGGCCCTCCATGGCCTCCATCGCGCGGAGCTTCTCTTGGATGCTGGCTTCCATGGCTTCGATCTGTTCGGCGTCCATCGCACACGAAATCTCAAACTGCCGCACAAGAAATGCGCTCCGGCAGTGATGGGCGACCTCGTTTCCTTCCGCCCGTTATCCGGATGATAAGGGCACTGGCGATTTGTATACGTGGTATCCGGCGTAGGGCTCGGGGATACGGCAGCTGGGTGGAAAACGTGATAAAGCACGGGCTGGCCAGCGTCTCGTTAAAACCACGCAACTCGTTCACCGTGCGTGGACCCCACGCTTACGACGATTTCGCCCTGCTCAAGCCAGTGAGCGGAGCAAGGGGACGTGCGGTCCATGGTGCGAGGGCAGTGACTAAGCGGCGGCGGCGGGACCACTGGGACAAGAATAGTAGAGGTACAGAGGGCGCGTGTATTTTTGCAGCCTGTGGCCGGCCGAGGCTATGCGTCGTGCGATGCTTTTGCTCCCAAGGCGCATGCCTACGTTCTTAGGAGCAAGGCCATGTCCAGCATTTGCTATTGAAAATGGCGGATCGAACGTTAGTTGTTGGGATGATGACGTGGCGGCATGGGATCGCTAGCGTTACAATTTGCTGGAGAGAGGATAGGGTTGCAGCGACACATTTTGAGGCGTCGGATCGTTGCGTGGACTTGTGCACACAAGGAAAATAGAAAAAAGACGTTGCGTGCGCGTCGCTGGCCACGATATCAGACGCGTCTCTTCGTATACCGCACGTGACGTGCACCCTTGTAACGGCAAGGGGACGACGCATCCGAGTCGTGGCCAAGGCCACAGCCAAAATAAGCTATCAGAACTCATTTCAACAAGAATTAGGGTATAAGAACTCATAGCCACAACAAACAACAGGCCATATCACAAGGAATAGATACTGTGGCGGACTCGATGCGCCAAGGCCTCGAGCAGCAACATGGTGTGCGCAAGGCGAAACCAACACGAATAGCACGGATCACTTGGCACTCACGTGGCCACGCTCACGGCCAAGTGCATGCGATGCCCAGGATTTGATTGAGATGGTCATCAAATGCTGCGCCTTTTGGATGTCTTGTTGGATCTCGTGTGTACGCACAGTCCATCGTTTCAGTACCAACACTGCGCCACCTGTTATCTCCTATTATTCGGATATGGTGTGCTGCGTAGATGACGATCAAACACATTGTACATTTCACCAGTGTAAATTATTGTCTTTTACGCAAGACACGAAAGTTGGGTGTTTTTGCGTCTTTCCCACACACACCGCGGGGCGTTTCCCACACATGGGTGCGGGGGCACCACGTGTATCGTATACAACCCACGCGTCATCGTCTTGGGTTGGGTATGGCATACAAATGCCAAGTGTTTCGGTGAGATTGCCTTTTCGGCTCACGGCGAGGTCCAGTGCTCGAGCGCGGCTTCCTCCCCGATGGGCAGCGACCGGCCCTTGGCGTCGGCGCACCGGCAGCAGCTGCGCGTCAACGACGTCGCTGTGCCCGGCAGCACCAGGGTGACGTGCAGCGTGCACTGGTGGCAGGCGACCTCGCCGCACTATTAGCGAGATGGAGCGCACATGAGGCAGGATCGAAGACGGCGTACATACCAGCCGGCAGTGGTGGCGTCGCCGAAACGGGTGAAAGCGACGGAGGCAGAGCGCGCAGCGCTTGCGCTGCGCATCATTGATGTAGAGGCTCTTGGGCACGAGGCTGTCGACATGCACGGCCAGCGTATGCGTCAGGCTGGGCATTTTACGGAATGCCAACGGTGTGGCGGCGCCACGGGGTTGTGACGCGCTGGGATCACGCACGACGACACACGGTGTGTAACCAGCAGGTTTCTAATAAGACGAGGCGATGACCAGATGCAACCCTCGAAAGAGAACTCGACAGAGGTGCCCACGACGTTGCCTTTCCAGGATGGATGGACCAAAAGGCAAGGAAGCTCGTCCGAAGCGGGCGTGTCCTGGACGTGACGCCAGCGATGGAACCGCCGATAGAGGTAGGACTGTGAGTGTTACGCGCCACGCGATTGATGGCCACCCGCCTGCGACGGTGGGCGACAAGACGGTGGCACGAATGACGTCGTACGCGTAATAAGCTTTTAGCCAAGTGCACGCGACTGTGATGCCGGGTGAAATCATTCGGTTCCAATCGTCCTACGCCCGTCCCACCGCGGAGCGTACATTGTGGCTACAGCATCGATCGAAAGTCCCTGGAAGCACCCATCAAGTCCAAGTCCGGTGGGCTCAAGGTACTCTGGTACGTGGGACGAGAAAGAGCAATATGGCGTGCGCGAATCGCCGGTACGAGTGCAGAGAGGAGAGGGCTGTCGCTGCTCCGATCGTAGCCTGTACGCATGCCAGGCATCTTCCCACGCTCCTTTCTTTGTCAACAGCGTCTCTTCGACACATCGCTGGCCTCGTTGTGTTGTTGAAGTGGGTCGTCAATAAAAATATATGGTAAATCGACGCTAAAAAGCATGTCGACCTTTCTGTGTCGTGTACACTTGGTTGACTTGGTTGAGGAACGTGATCGAGGCAGACAGAGGATGGCGCGCAATCCGCAGGACAAGGTGACGATGCGGCCACTCGTGTTGGGCGAGGAGCCGAAGAAGCCAGAGAAGAGCAGGCTGCTCGGACTCTTGAACGAGGCTGTGGTGCAAGTGCAGTTGAGCGACACGCGCCGCCTTGACGGCAATCGTCCATGGACCACCGCTGGTCTCGTTGTTTGAGCCAGGGGTATTGTGCAGCTGAATCAGTCACATTCAAAGGCTTCTGCACATTTTTGCGAGCCCAGCTGGAGAAGGCGACACAATGGAGGCTCATGATGGTGGTTGAAGTTTCTTTCTACTTGTGTGGCAACGCTATATTCTTCTAATTGTAAAGAAAGCAACTACGTACGAGCAATCTAGTTAAAGCTTTTATCAATAGCTAGTCAAGTCAACACACGACCATTTGTGCACATGGGCGCACTGACAAGCGGGACGAAGATCGCAGGGTCGAAGAAACGATCCGAAGCTTGACTTTGAGACGGACCAATCACGGCCTGCCAAAAACGCATTTCGTAGTCACGTGAATAGTGTACGATCGTTCTGATTCGCCATAAAGGTCGCACGAGGAGCGATTGGATTGGTTGTTGCATGGTTTTTCCAGTCCCAAGTCCAAAAGATCGAGCGATCGACGATGGCGCTGGCCGACATGAGTGCGATGACGGACGCCATGCAGGATGAGCTCGCGACCTTCGTCATTGCCTACGCGGGAGCTCCTCAGGTACCTCCTGCCGCAGCGATACGCCTGGACTCGAAGGCCATGCGGCGCTAGGACCATGACATGGCGACCTTTGCCTCGGGATTTGCAGCCGCTCACAACATGAACCTCACGCCGCTCAAGGCATGTGTCTATCGCCCGCGCCATGGCTGATGCAGTGCATAGCACATCCTCCAAGACACTTTGGCCATCCTTTCGACCGCCATCACCGGCCAGGCGTCGTCTGCTGATCTCGTTGCAGCGCTATTGGCAGCAGGTACATTTATCCGCCGTGGAGCACAACGACTAGCACTATGGATAGGCGTGAATGAGGCGACAGCAAAGCGCTTTGGCGTGCGATGGACGGCGACATCCCATGCATCAGGCCGCAGCCTCCAGCTCGTCCATTCCGAGCTCATCGATATGACGTGGAAGCTTGGCATCACGACGGCTACGAACCTTCTACCATCGGTACACATGCACGCATCCAAGTCTTTTGCGCACGCGAGCGAGCCTCTAGGTCGGTGCTCCATTTGTCGTCTTGACGTTTGTTCTGCAGCCGCGTGGCACGTCGCTGCGGTCGACCGAGACACTGGAGCTGTCGCTGCCCATGTTTTACCAATTCCTCGCCAACGTCGAGGCCCTTCAAGCCCACCTGTCGTTTCTCCAGACCTAATCGGAACCACGCCGTTTTCGTTTCGCAGGCCTCGTCGCTCTAGCGTTGCTGGCATTGGGCACAAGTCGTCAGTTTGGGCTCCTCGCAGCCTCGTGCGTTGTCGACTTGGTGATGGGTTGGCGCACCCGCGCTTGGATGCGTACCTTCATGCTTCTGCGGCTGTGCGTAGAATATAGTGGTAACCAGACAGGCAACCAGACAGGCAACCAGACAGGCAACCAGAACTAGTAGCAGCCACCAGACGCTGCTGCCACTACCATTGCATTGACGCATAGATGCGTCGGGAACGACTGGCAAAGATCGTGGTCGAGTGCGGTGCATAGACGCGCTTTCGGTTCCTCGATGCGGATTGGCTGAAATCGAGTGTCGAGCGCGCCGCGGATTGGCTACTTGCTGTGCATGGCGGACAAAATTGGAAACACCAGCATGAGCAGCAGCATCGCGCCAGCGCTGGCGGCCAAGCCAACGCTGCCGCCGAACGTGCACAAGTACGGCGTCGCGCCGGCCGACTGCATGTTCGAGGTCCTCGATCACGTGCTCAGCGCCAACGAGTGCAAGGCCCTCATCAAGCACATGACGCCGGCGCTCAAGAGCGTCAGCGGCGCGCTCACCAAGATGCACCCGGACGGCGACCAGCGCCGGTCCAAGACCGAGTACCACCTCTCGGTCATGGAGAACAAGCGGTTTGCCGACATCATTTGGCAGCGTATTCTCAACAGCGACGCGCTGCCTGCGATCGTCAAGTACGACACTCGGTCGTGGCTTTTCTGGCTCACGCTGTTATGGTGTGTAGCTACATTGACCGCGAAGGCTGTGGCATGCCACTGGGGCTGGCGCCGCGCCTGCGCATGCTGCGGTACCTTGGCGATGATGTCTTTGACGCCCACTATGATCGCATCGTGCCCGATGAAGCGTCTGGTATGTTGTCATAACGTGGCTGGAGCTAGGTGTCAACGGAGGTGTAGGCAGCGAGAGCTTGATCACAGTGCTGATCTACTTGAATGACGGCGGCGGCGTCGACTTTACCGGTGGCGAGACAGTCTTTTTGAACTTTGAAGCGCCCGAGAAGGCGGCGGGAACGGCTGTGACGCCCAAGACGGGCCGCATCGTGCTCTTCGAGCACTGCTTGTACCATACTGGCTCGGGACTGCAGCACATGCCCGAGCACGACACCGTGGACGTCGGCGACGGTCCGCTCAAAAACTGCAAGTACATTATCCGCACCGACATTCTCTTCCCGATCAACGCGATGAACCGCGACAAGTACTGATAGCAGCAACTACTCTCTTATTGTACTACGTCGCTGTCGTATCCGACAGCCTTTCTTTTTGTACCTGATAGACGTCATTGTCGCTTGCCAGCCCCGTGGTGGTGCGACGCTCCACCGTTTGAGCTCACTTTGCACTTGACATTGCACTTGTGGACGGAGTTTGAACCTTGCAGTTATTACACAGTCCTAAAGACACATCGTTGCATTCCAGATGATTCCGGTTTCATTTCATGGCCAACGTTTTGTGCATATCTAGCTAGGAGTAGCTTCAACACCCGTAACGCTACTGGACGACTGTCGGTTTACGACCTTTTGTACATGAACTAGAGTATAGCGTAACCGATATATAGAGACCAAGGTCCTCGAGCTCTGCTGATGCTGTCCATCTGAGTGAGCGCAACGTCGACCTACGGTGTCCATCTGGGTGTCTATCCTTCGATACACCGCCCGCCCGTACACTTCCGGTGCATCAATGTGCACCACCCACCAACCTCTTTCAAAATTCAAAACGACAGTCTCGTCATCTACGCTTCTGTCGCCACGCAATGTTAGTAGAGCTTCAACAGCTCCGATCAAAACTGATGTCGTCATTTGTCCAGATGTACAGAAGAGAGACCTAGGACTTACGCCGACGTCTCGTCTTTCTTGGTGCCGTGGGGGTTCTTGGCGTACTCTTCCGGGTAAATGTCGTTCCACGCTTCGTGGAGCGTGTCGTGGTGCTCCGGGTGCGAGTGGTGGAGCGAGTGCGGGTCCTCGGCGAAGAGCACGAAGACGGTCGCGACAGACGAGTTGATGACAGCCATGACGATGTAGCAGATCGAAAAGCCAATCAGAAGGCCCGTGACACCAAGGATCAGCTGCGGCTTGTCGAGGTTCTGCGTCCAGAGGCTGTTGTTGTTGGCATGGTCCCACGCGACAACGCCGTAGGCCGCGGCCGCACCGACCATGCCGACCATGACGGAGCCGATGAGAAGCACGTTGTCGATGAGCGAGTCGTTGGCGACCGCGGACCAGCCCATCTTCTCAAAGAGCTCATACGTCTCCTTGCCGGCGCGGATGAAGCTGAAGCCGTAGATGCCGACGTACGAGTACGCGTACTTGTTGAAGTACTGGACGATGCGCGAGATGCAGCCAATGATGCACTCGAGGCAGCCGAGGAGGCAGACAGCCACCGAGTTGCCCGACTTGGAGGCTGCGTGGCGGAAGAGCTCGAGGATCGTCTTGATCGTCTCAATGATCGAGACGACGAGCGAGCCAAAGCAGATCGAGCCAAACGACAGCGTGAGCGCGCGGCAGAGGGCCGTCGTGCTCGTCATGGACTTGCGCTCGTTGTCGGCATTGTACCACCAGGCCGCGACCGTGCCGGCCGTCGTGACATGCACGACGTTGCGGATGACGAAGAGCGTCCAGAAGAACGCGAGCAGCATGAGCGTAAAGATGCCAAACTTCTGCGCGCCGTTGTAGCCCTGGCCGTCCGTGCTCGTGTACTCGCCATGGTTCATGGCCGCGTACGTGGCCACGGCCCAGATGAGCACCCAGCCGACCTGGACCAGCGTCGCCGCAAGCGCAATGAGGAGGATCACCGGGTACCGGAGCACGGCCGAGCACGAGACCTTGAGGTTGGCCGACGCGAACGCGATGCGGCGGCGAATGCAGCACACGTAGACCGTCATGATGATCGAGAGGAGCGAGCCAAGTGCGACGGGGCACCAGAAGAACGTCTCGTCGCCGTTGTCGTAGAGGAACTTGGAGCCAAAGACACCGGCGACGAACGTGCCAACGATCGCCGTGATGGCCGCGATCCAGATGAGGAGCTTGCCCATGACGAGCATGATGCCCGTCCAGAGAAGCGAGAGGAGCACCGAGCCGCCGGCAATCGCAGCCGCAATGCGTAGCGCGTACTTGTACTTGTGGTGCTCCTGGACGAGCTTGTCGCCGGCGTAGTCGAGCACCTCGGACGACAATGTCGCGAAGAGGACGAGGACACCGCCAAAGGCGAGGAGGTAGAGGACTGCGAAGAGGATGTCGTTGCAGCGGCGCTCTTCCTTGAGGTCGCACATGTTCTCGTCGCAGCTGTCCTTCTTGGCCATCGTGTTGTTCAAGGGCGTTTGCTCACTGACAATCGGCCCTCGCGTCTGGAGGTACATGGCTGCGGACGACGGCGGAGATTTGCTACTGACTCCTCTCTTGCGGATTGTATGGCGATCAGACGACCAGATGGCGTGGCGAAGCCTTGGGCCAGCTGCGGCAATTGCCTTCAAAAGTACATTGACTGAATTTACGGGGTTGATAGTTGCAGTGCCCGAGGCGTCGACGTACAGGGTCACTCGGTATCAATTCCCTTCAACCTTGTCGAGAGGGGTCCAAGGAGAGGATATCGGTGGTGCGACCTTGCAGTGATGGTCTCTTGCATGGAGCATGGATTTGAATGGTCTGTTGACGTCTGGAATTTCGTCCTAGGTGGAGCCCCGGACTGACAACTTGATACACTGTACTACATGTAGTACGAGGTTGATACTGCTAACGCGCAGTAACAGAAGAGGAATTCAAAGCCCAGATCCTCGTAAGCACTGCAGTCGTTCTCGGTGAGCGTACAATTGTAGGTGACGTCGAGCGATTTTTATCCATGGATTCTTGGTGCAGTACCGCCAAACCAGTCGTGGCGCAATGCTACCAGTGGCGTGATCAATGAGTGTACTCGAACAAGGCAATCGCATGCTGTGCCTAGAGTGATCGCACTTTACGGGTGTAGAATGAACGCGATTGACAAAAAAAGAGGTCACACCAAGATATTCCCGTAGACAAGTCGTTCTTAATAAACTCTTGATATTGGATTTGCTCGTTTTCAAGAAAGGTACTTGGATAGGCGAATTCCAGACCCGTTTTTGGCCACTTTGTTCAAGGTGCGTTGCTAGGGGGTGTTGCCGGATTGTCAACCCAGACGACGCCACTCTCACAAGGTTGCGCGAGAACGTCCTGCGCCGGATCGCACAGGACGTGACGACGAGGGATGGTTGTCGGCAAGGGTCCATAAACTTGCTTGTGGACCCTTGGTTGTCGACCAGAAGTCGATACTGTCTCTCTTCTCGAGGTTCCAGTACGACTAAGATCTTAGTGACATGCATGTCTATTAAAGCTTCTTGAACGCGCGGTGCTTGCCTTCCACAAAGGCCTGGATCTCTTGGCGCGCAAAGCGATGGCCGTTCTCGGCCGCAAGGTACATGAGCTGGAGCGCGCGGCCATACTCGGCGACCGGCGCGTTCTGGAAGAGGAGGTCCGCGACCATATACGCCGCGTACGAAAACTTGCCGTTGGCAAGCGCGCGCTCAAAGCACTCGAGCGCTTTCTCTTCGTCCTCTGGAAGGTCGCTGCCCGCGGCGCCCGTGTAGTAGAGCACGCCGAGCTCATAGTCGGCTTGCGGATGGCCACAGGCGCTTGCGCGTTGGAGGCATTCGATGCCCATGGCGTAGTCCTGCTCGACGCCGTAGCCTTCGACGAGGCACATGCCGACCGCGACGAGGCCATCGACGTCGCCTTCGCTCGCGAGGTCGACGTACATGTGGTACCCCGCCTCCGTGTCGAGGTTGTTGAAGACGTTGAGCGTCGCCAGGTCAAAGCGGAGCTCGTTGCAGCGAGGATCGCGCGTGCTGCACATCGATGCAATGCCCTTTTGCAGCGTCGCAAGCTGGTCAGCATTGGGCTGCTTGACGGGCCAGACGCGCGACGGGAGCTGGCGCCAGCCCTCCTCGTCCTTGACCCAGCGGGCCGTCATGTCCTTCTCGTTGGCGCGCAACCGGCGCAGCTCGGCCGTGAACGCAGCTGGCGCTTCGCAGGATGTCGTCGATGCCATGGCTGCGCCCATGGCCATGAGGCCCGTCGCTGGCAGTGCATTGCGCAGGAGCTGGCGGAACATGGTGGCGCGTATCGAATTCCGAGTGTCGAGATTGCACCACTTGCGCGATCGGCCAATCACATCATGTCCGTTGGATGCGGCTTCTAACCGACATCGCTCTTCTGGATTCGCCTATCCAGAAAACGCGGTCCACAGCTGCCATCGCTCAACACCCTGCATACTCTGCTGCATTCTTGAGAGTAGATTATCGGATAACATGCGTGTGGGTAGATGCATAACATGGCAGTATTAATACTTGCTGTCGTTGTTGTTGAAGTGGGTCGTCTATTACAATAGATAAAACTATGCTAATAAAATTGTCGGACTTTCTTCGTTGTGTGTACTCGGTTGAGGGACTTGATTTAGGCAGGCGGAGGCAGGAGCGCGATCCGCGGGACGAGGTGACGTCGTGGCCACTCATGTTGGGCGAGGAGCTGGAGAAGACGACGAAGAGCAGGCTGCTCGGACTCTTGAACGAGGCTGTGGTGCAAGTGCAGTTGAGCGACACGTGCCGCCTTGACGGCAATCGTCCATGGACTTGGCAGCGGTAGGTCGGCGCGGAAGACGCGATCGTTCCGGACTCGCCAGACGTTGAACCAGACGCAGGCGCGGATCACGGGCCAGAGGTATCGGAACGCGGCTTGGTGCATGCTGGACGCCGTCTGGGGCGTCGAGTAGAGGTAGCCGGAGAGCGTAGTCGGCAAGGTCACACCCAAAGGGACCGTGACGGCGTGAAGCGTGCTCCACACGTCCTTGATGAAGTCGCAGTCTACGAGGAAGTGGCGGTACGTCTCGTGCGCGGGGCAGAAGAGGCACGCTTGGTCGGCCCTGTCGAGCCAGTGCAAATGTGCGCGGAACTTGACCGCGCGGAGCATCACTTGGTAGACGAAGTCGGCGTACTTGGGTAAGATAGCGTCGGGTAGCCGGAGCTCAGCTGCGGCGGCTACGGCAGCAGGCGCCTCGTAGAAGTCTTCCTCGACGCCCAGGTGACGGGTCGGTAGCTGCAAGCGCGTCCTTGGCGGGGCACGACGTCGGCGGGCTTCGGCGGGCGTCGTCTGGGTCTACGGCTTGGTGACCTTGTGGAGTCGAACCAGCCATGGCGGCTTGGGAGTCGGGCTTGGCACCGGGCCGCACGTGAAGGCGTCGACCGTCGTAGAATACTTGCTGTCGTGATGGCAAAGAGAGGTATATTAGACTGATTTTGCAAGCGTGAAATGTAGGAATGGGGCACGCCGTGACATGTCGCATGCGGGCGTCGGATGAATTCCACCGAAAAAAAGTACGATGGGACCCCCTCAATCCTGAACTGGTTTTCAGGAAAGCTACATATTTTTTACTTGCACTGAGTATGAGCAAGAACTCCACCGACGACGAAGAAGGCATTTCGCTTCACCGTGGCCTCGGACGTCATGCTTGTGAGCCCACATGCCACACAACTGTCCGTGCCACAGGACTGTCCTTACATAAGCCAGACCGCAAAGCGCTGGGAAGAGTTCGCCGAGCACATGTGTGTGATCCACGGTGACCTCGTCACGGTCATCAGGCGCCGCCGGCGCTTTGACGACCTTAGGACGGCCTTTGAGAACGACCGAGAGGCCACGACGAGGTGCTGGGCGAGAATTGCGACGGGAGGGAGTGCGAGCGGGGCGTCGTCCATCACCGGTCCAAAGCGAAAAACTTCTGCACGTTTGCAAAAACATCCGAACGCGCCACTTTTCATCATTGAGTTTTCTGGAATGTCGCGCGCCGAACAATCCTGAATTCCACCCTTGCAAAATCACTCTATTATTACTAGTAAGTAGGCTTCGTGAGAATTCGTGTTTACCGTTCCTGACGACGTCTTTAAAAAGGCGTCGGCTAGGAGTCAAAACAATTTTTGATGGAATCAAAACGACTTCCGATGAAGCCAATCATGCTAGTTGTCGATCTCTGTAAATCAATCGACCACGCCTCACCCGACGTTATCGGCGAGGACCATCGGCCGCCCTTGTCATCGCTTTAAAAGGCGCAGATTGCCCCTGATGAGCTTCAGACACTCGAACAAAGTCGCCACATGATTGGACGATTGACTGTGAATCAATCGAGGTCACCAACGACGGTTCACGAATCGGCAACCGAAGGTACAGATGGCGGACCACCGAGTCTAGATGAAAACACGAAATGAGTCCCACGAAATCGCAATAGCTTTCGCTGCCTCTAGCGTCAAGCTTGGTTTCTGTTAACGCAAGGAGTCAAAACAGCATAGCAGCTGGGTAGCGAGCTCATTACAAGGACGATGGCTGTGCAGCATGCTTCCTCAAAGGACAGGTACCATGGCAACTCCGTTTTTGACCATTCAATAAATGAAACCGTCAAGATTCCACGCATCTCAAGATCGATGGCATGTTGCCCTTTCGTTTTGCCCAATCACAGCGTAGCGGCCGAGAGCTGTAGCCAATCACATCCAGTGACCGTTTTCGGCGGGAAACAAGTGGCAGCAGCATGGTCCGACAGGTCGTGCCAATACTATCCTCAAGACCATTCCAAGAGACATCGCCTCTGTTTAAAACGCGTCGAGTTGCATGTTGTTTTCAGCCGCGTTGGTTTTCCATTCCACTTGGCACAAACACACATGGCAAGTGTCGCTGCAGATGGACGGTCGGGACGGTCTATCAAAAGTGATGGGTTGCCAGTCGAGAGCTACACCGTTCGCGTGGACGCACCTCCCGATGCGCTTGATGCTACGTACCCTTTGTTTTATACACGCGACCGGTCGCCGGAAACGCTTTCATCCCACGACACAAAACGGTCGCCCTCCGGTATCTCGGTTTCTGCAGCAGAGTATCTTTTTCGAGGAGTACTTACCGTGTGTGCGCAATCTGGCACGTCGATTGCACTTTTATTTCCGTTCAACGCACATTTATTTCCGGTCACCGCACAATATTTTACAGCGACCGAACTGTTTCTTACGTCGCTCGCACTCTCTACCGCACAATAAACGTAACGTTGTATAACATCTCGGACCACATTGCTGCGAGCGACGACAGAGCATCGGCCCAGAAAAGCCTGCGCACCGCAGCGTAGCGGAGGTGGCGTGTTGGCTTTTGTGCAGGCCGTGCCTTGGCGAGGAGCGAGCCCCGGTCTTTCACGTAAGAAGAATTCATTATCGATGGGTCGCCCAGGTGGAGGCGGGTAGGCCCGCAGGGCCGCGCCGACCCTGGTGCGAAAAGAACCCAGAATGGTTATAATTCGTCGTTAGAAATTGTGCAGTTCAATGTTCGGACGAAGGGCGGTCGCTGTAAAATATTGTGCGGTGACCGGAAATAAATGTGCGTTGGACGGAAATAAAGGTGCAATCGACGTGCCAGATTGCGCACTTCCGTCGGTACTCCTTTTTCGAGTTGCCATCACGCCGAGCCAAGAAATGCGCTTGGCGGTCCTCGCACTCTGCTGCTCGCTCGTCGCCGGTGCCAGACAACGCATTCTTCAGGAGGAGCTCAATGCAACCGATTGGGCCCACGAGGCGCCGCCCGAGACAACAATCGAGGTCCGCGACAACCTCCCGGACGCACTCGACGCGATCACCGACTCGCTCGACTTGACGCAAACCAACTGGTCCACCGACCAGTACTTTACCGGGTCGGTCCTCGTGCTTCCGGCTGGCGTCGATAGCATCGGTGTCGACGGCGTCGCGCGCACGCAGATCTCGTACAACTACTCGATGAGCCCAAGGGCGTGGAGCCTCGACGCCGACCCGAACGCGCTCTCAATGGACGGATGCGCCTACGTGGACGGTGGCAAAGCCATGGACCTCCATGTCGCCAACACGAGTGACGCGTCACCGTACGCGATCGGCCAAGTGCTCATCGCGTCTGCGGCGTGGCGCTGCAAGGACGAGAACGACACACTTATGCACATCGCGCATCTGCTTGTCGCCGAGATGATCGTCAACGCGCGCGCCAATATCATCCATCTCTGGGCAGCTCGCGCCGGCATGAACGAGACGTTTGCGACCACGTCGATTCGGTTCAAGTCCAACGACGTCGGCGACAAGATGGGGCAACCGACGCTGGCGTCGAACGGTCGGCGTCTCGATGCGTATCGTTTGTACGACTACATTCCGTTGTCCTACTGCACGACGTCCTGCGGCGCCTACACTCTGGAGGATAGTCAGTGCTACGCGCATGCATCCAACAGCTCCGTGAGTGTCAATTGTCCCAGTACCCAGTACACGATGTTTACGTACTCGGGTGGGAAGACCAAGGCGTGTGGCTACGTCTACAACTGCCTCCGTGGCCGATCGTCGGCGAATTTGACGTTCAACATCGCGTCCAGCGGCAATGGCTTTGCCAACCCCGACATTGAACTCTACCGCTCGTCGGGGTGCGGCAGTGGCAACTACCTCACCGCGCTTCCAGGGTCGGGCTGCGTCCGCGTCGGTTGTGCCAACTGCGGTTTTTGGTTTGCGGTCAACGAAATGGAATTCACCTACACGTCGGATTGGTACTTGTTTGTCATCCCGTGGGTCACTGCGAGCACGGGCGTGTATGCCGCAAGCTTCGCGAGCCTTGGCATCTCGCTCTACGCTCCGGACGGCGTCTCTAAAACGTGGTCCAACCAGACGGTTGAGATAGCGTGGCCTTACCCGCTCCAATTTGTTGGTGTCCCTCTAACCGTCGCGCTCACCTTCTCGGTCGTCGAGGACTTTACAGCCGCGATGCGGACGTCGGCGAACCCGTTTGTGATCTCCAAGTCGGTCTCGATGTCGAGTCTCACAGCAACAACGACGTTTGATTCGGGACCTGCGTTGACATGGCCGACGACGACGACTGATATAACCAAGGAGATGACGACGCAAGTGCAGCAACCCAAGGCGGGTGAGTACGTCATGTTTGACTTTCTCTACGAGATGACGTTTACGCTCGACTTGACCGTGAGTTTCAGCCGGGCAGTGAGTTTTGGCGCCGCCGTTGACTTGACCCTCTTTCTGGAGCTGAACGTCAAGGGTGGCGTTCTACCGGCGCTCGCGACACCCTATCTGGACATGTCGACACCATCTTGGCTTATATTTGGCAACTGCATGGCTCCTCACCTTCTCGAAATTGGCGTGTATGCTGGCCTCCACAAGGTCGATTTGGTTCTCCATTACCAACTCATATGGGACTTTCCGCGGTTTGTAAAACCGTTCCCGTCCGTCTATTTGAACCAGAGCCTCCTCAACTACTTCTACAACCCCCCGTACTTGATGACGATTGGGATTGCGATCGATGTTTCCAATGCACAAACTCTGGCGGTGAGCTCAACTTCCAAGGCCGCACTCTTGAGAAGCCTCGGCCCGGCACTCGGTCTCTTGGATCTCTCTGCGTTTGTGCTTGCGGTTCAAAGCGTCAATGCCACAACAGGCACGGTATCGATCACTGCAATGCTACCATCCAGCATCTCAACCGCCTACCCGACCTCCGTGAGCTTCAACGACGCCGTCAATTCGCGAGCAATGACGACAGCATTCAGCAACGCCATCTACAGCGCGACGTACATCAGGGCAGGCGCCGTGTGCACACCTGGGTATTACGGCCCGACCTGCTCGACCCCTTGCAGTACAACATCTGCTTGCCGCACTGTCTCGTCCTGCGCCAGTGTCGGTGGCACTGTGCTTGCGTGCTCGAGCTGCAACGCTGGCTATTACGGCTCGGTTTGCCAGTTCGAGTGCTTGCGCGCCTACACATGTGACTGGAGCCTTCCGGTAACATGTCATGCTTCCACGGGTGCCTTGATATCTTGTGTCAGCTGCGACCCTGGCTACTGGGGCATCACGTGTCAATATTCATGCTCGCCAGGCGCCTCATGTGCATCCGGCTCAAATGTTGTCTGCGACGGTAGGAATGGCAGTCTGGTCTCGTGCTCCAGTTGCGTCAACGGATCCTGGGGCAGAACGTGCCAAAACACATGCACTCGAGCATCGACTTGTGCTTCTGGCGCCTCCCTCACTTGCAACGCCAGCAGTGGTAGCCTGCTCTCGTGTTCGAGTTGCGTATCGGGCTATTGGGGCACTACGTGCCAGACGCCGTGCGCTCGACCAACCGCGTGCACGGCGGCCACTTGCAGCTCGAGTGGTGCTCTGACGACCTGCACGGCCTGCAACGCTGGCTACTGGGGTGTCACGTGCCAGAATACGTGCTCTCGGCCGGCCACGTGCTTGGTGGCCACGTGCGACTCCAGTGGGACTTTGACGGCCTGTGTCGGCTGCAACGCTGGCTACTGGGGCATGTTTTGCCAAAACACTTGCACGCCGGCTTCATCTTGTACCAACGGCACAGCGCTTACGTGCAATGCCAGCAATGGCAACCTTCTCTCGTGTGAAAGCTGCAAGCCTGGCTATTACGGCTCGGTTTGCCAAAACGTGTGTCAGCACGCCTACAGATGTGACTGGAGCATTCCGGCAACATGTCATGCTTCCACTGGTACCTTGATATCTTGTGTCAGCTGCGACCCTGGCTACTGGGGCATCACATGTCAATATTCGTGCTCACCAGGCGCCTCCTGTGCGCCCGGCACGAGAGTGATCTGTGACAGTACCAGTGGCAGTTTGGTCTCGTGCTCCAGTTGCGTATCGGGGTACTGGGGCACGACGTGTCAAAACACGTGCTTGCACGCGTACAATTGTGACTGGAACATTCCAGCAACATGCGACGCTTCCACTGGTACCCTGATATCTTGTGTCAGCTGCGACCCTGGCTACTGGGGCATCACGTGTCAACATTCGTGCTCGCCGAGCGCCACGTGTACGCGTGGTGGCGCCCCCACGTGCGATCAAAACACTGGTGTACTCACGACGTGCCAAGGCTGCGTCACCGGCTACTGGGGTGACGCGTGCACCAACACGTGCCCAACGCCGACGACATGTGCCTCGACTGCCACAGTAGCGTGTGACCAAGCGACAAGTCGTGCTCTGTCGTGCAATAGTTGTCTCGCCAGCTTTTGGGGCAGCGCATGTCAAAACGAGTGTTCAGTGCCACCAACGTGCTACACGGCAACGTGCACTGCCGACGTGTCCGCGGTGCCTCGTGGGCTTCTGGGGCATGCGCTGTGAGAACAAGTGCACACCGAGCAGCAACTGCGCAGCGGGAACCACAGTAGCCTGCAACCCAACGACCGGCAGTCTCTCCATGTGTGGCGCTTGTATGACGGGATTTACGGGTGCAACGTGCGCAGTGTCTGCGCCTGCAGTGGCCGTGCCCCCGACCCCGGCGTCACTTGTACTCTCTGGCCTCGCTGCAAGTGACTTTAGCCCGACGGTCAAGTTGGCTTTTGTTCTTTCCGTCGTCGAGACGTTCGCACAACAAGGAACGTCGATCGGAGCCACAGACGTTGTCATCACAAGTGTCACGGACGTCACTAGCCGACAGCGCGGTCGCCAACTGAGCACCGCCAGCGTCGCGGTTGCTTTCACCGTCGCAGCACCCACCAGCTCGATGCAGGCGATGCAAACTCAACCGTCCCTCATCAGCGCCAGCCTTGTTCGAAACCAAGTGATTACCGACAGTAGCCAAGTCGGTGTTCTGTCCGTTGTGTCGCCGACGACGGCTGTGGCCACGACGCAGGCTCCGACACCAACGACGGCTCCGACACCAACGACGGCGACGACGCCGAGTAGTGGTATTCAGATGGCTTTGCTTATCGGTGCAGGCGCCGGTGGATGTCTCGTGCTTTGTGTTTGTGGTTGTTTTTGCTGGTGCTGGCGATCCAAAACCAAAACGTACAGCCGACCGGGTATCCGTGTGCTTCCGGGCGTTGCTACGACAACCATCGAGGCCGCTGTCGATCAGACGCTTCCGATTCCCGGCGCTGGTCCGTCTTAGTGGTCCAGGTTGTTTGTAATTATATACATGTAAACGTCTCCTACGAGTCCATGGGCGAAAGGGCTTTCGCGATGAAGTGTATCCTTCGTTGGTAGCCGACGTCGGTTCAAAAACATGATACAATTGTAGACTCGCTTCGCATCGTAGCGCCCGTGCCATGGACAAGGTTGGAATGCATTAGCTTCCCACACTTTGAATAGAGGAATGTTGCATAAAACCAAGCAGCCAGCGCCATGCAGCCAGTCAGCGACAACTCGAGCTTACGAAACCGCGCGTCGCTGAAACCGAAGCGAAAAATGCGGCGCCTCTTGTCGCCTAGCAAAGGCCGTGGCGAGAGCCAAGAGAGCCAAGCCGAAGGCTGCGACGATGGCGGCACCGACGCAGCAAGTACAAACGAGCCGCCACCGCGGAGCACGGGTTCGTCCCGCGTCGGCTCGTTCTTCAACAAATCTTCCGAGAGTGCTGCTGCGCCAAGCGACGAGAAGAGCCCGAAGAAGAAAAAAGGCTTTGGCTTTGGCAACTTTACAACCCCCAAGTTTACTCTAAGCAGCCTCAATCCGCTCAAGCGCAGTCCCAAGAAAGGCGCCGTCGCCAAAGGGGGCGTGCCCCCGCCGCCCGACCGGCCCATCGCAATGCTGTTTGCAAGTGCCAAGTACAAGGCGCATCTTTTACATGTCTGCAGCTACCTTCCGTTCATATCGCTGGGGCGGTTGGCGCAAGTGTCGATGGCGCTCCAAGACTTTGTACTAGACGTGCTGCAGACGCCACTTCGTCTCGCGTCGTACCGGGCTTCGATCCCGACAAGGTACATTCCTTTTCAAACACGACAAAATGTTGAATAGGCGGTAGGTATTATCTCTACCAGACGCTCCTTCGTGATCACTTGCTTGCCCGGAATCGAACCGCCACTGACGTGGACATTCCCAAGCACGTGCTTTCGTATCTAAACCTCAAGGACCGTTTGATGCTGACGACGGTGTGTCGGCGCTTTATCAGGATTGTGGGCTCGATGGACCTTCGGCTGTGGGGGCAGCACCAAGGCCATGCCTTTGTACAAGGCTATGACATTGAGAGCAAGGCGTTCTGGCTCGTACGGCACTGCTATGCTCGCACCACGTCCATTTCACTGAGTACAGAATTATCATCTTGCTCAGCGATCACTAGAAGGACACAATCTCTGTCTGGATAGATTATATGACCTCGCCGCAAGTCCAAGTCTTTCTGAACGCACTCGCGCACGGTTGCTTCCCAAAAGTGACCCATTTTCACCTCGGCCATGTCCACTTTGTCGAGTCGCCACTTCATTTGTGCACGCAGCTGCTCGAGGCACTGGACCAAGCACAACTTTGGGCTCAACTGGAGAGTTTGTCGCTGCAAGGTACACTATTGTCTGTTAAAAGCCACGCTCACGATGGGTAGGATTCGACTGGACGCTTCCTGGGTACGCTGCGTTGTTTGCCCATCTCTTTCAGCGACCGAGCGACCGCTTGCGCCACTTGGATCTCTCGGGTAGTATTGCTGGATACTACTATCCAACAAAATGGATTGACGATCGTTGGATAGACAATGCGCTGGAGCACCTCAATGTCGTGCGACTCTCGCCGTGGTTTGTTCGAGAGCATCTACACGGCTTAACGTCCTGGACCCTTCGCAGTACGGTCTCGCTTGTATCCATCGTAAACTGACATCAAAAGCAGATACAACGCTCACAAGTGCGAGCTTCCCCGAGGTCCTGACCTGCCTCGAGCATCTTCCATCGCTTCAAGCGCTGGATGTTTCAGCCAACGACTTGGGCCTGGACGCTTGGGATGCGCTCGGTGCCTACTGCTCGACGCCTCGCAGTGTCTTTACCCACCTCGTTGAATTCAACTGCAGCGGTACACTCCACCTCCAACACTCAACTTAACAAATTGGCTAGGGACTAGCTACAACGTGTCGGGAATGCTCGTGCTCTTTCGTGCGCTCTCATCTGTCGACTGCGTGCATTTAACGACACTCGACGTCAGCGGTACAGACTTTTTGTTATCAATCTTTTTCTCGAAACTATCAAGTGCAGGCAATTTTTCTGCAAAGACAGTGTTGTTGCGCTGGCAAAGTGCTTGGTACTGGAGCGCATCCCGCGTCTCCGGCATCTCAACCTCGCGCGTACGGCGCCCATGCAGAGGTTCGCCCACACACTCAGAGTTTAGGAACACAACTGACGGCCGAGAGCTTTCCGCTGCTGACACAGGCTTTTGCTGGAAAATGGTTTTATATCCAAAGCGCACAGCGCTACGAGGCCATGCCAGGACATGCGTTAACCTATCTCAACGTCTCGGGTACATCAACGACGCGGCAATTTGATTTTACCTCGATGTTTGTAGGCAACGTCATTGGGGCGGGCATGGCGGCGCTTTGGACAGCAATGACTGCGTCGGCGTTGCGCTCGCTCGAGACGCTGATTGTGTCGTGTATGTTTGTATCATTTTGTACATTTTTCTGGGATTTATCCATGATTTTGGACTAGACACGCACCTGGCGATGCAAGAATTCAACGCGATGGCGCAGACGTTTCGACGCGGCCAGTGGTGCCCCGCCCTGCGCCACATCGACTTGAGTGGTATGAAGAGAGAGTCATAGGACAATATTTCCCACAGAACTACGTAGGAAATGCGCCGAAAAGCACCGGGATCATTCGATTCGCTTCGTTCTTTCAGTCGACAACCGCGCAGCAGCTGCGGCACTTGGACCTGAGTTGTATGCTGCTTGTAATCCTGTAGCGTTGATTTTACGACGGTGGTCTAGACAACGATGTGGACTCGGCGACGCTGGATCGGCTCGTCGATGCGATTGAAGCATCGTTTTCTCCGTCGCTGATGCATCTCAACGTCAGCCGCAACTTGCGGCTGCAAGGGACGACGATCGCCCACGTCAACCAAGTACGCATTTCCACTGACACTGCAATCCTCTCGATTCGATGGCTCGATGCAGATGGTGCGAGGTCCGAGCTGCCCGAGCTTGCGTTGCTTGCTCATGGGAGGTAGAGCCGACTTTGTGTTTTGCTGTTAAATCATAGAGTAGACACGGCAACGCCGGACGCAGGGTTCGCGCTTGTCAAGCACATTCGAAGCCACCAGAGCCCGGCCGCACTCGTACGCCATCGACTCTATATTTTTTATCAAAAGTGTCCTATGGTGGCGCTCGTGTAGGAGCGCCGACGAGAGGAGCTCCGCGCGGCCAAGCGCGACGCGTTCGAGGCAGCGAGTCGCCAAGCAGCGATCGAGACGGACGAGCGCACTACGATGAAGTGTGCAATCCGAAGGGCTCTCTATGACCGGCTCGAAGCCGAAGCCGCGCAGGCCAACCGCGTCGCAAGCCCGGGGAAGCGCCATGCGAAAAGTCAAACCGACGACTTGCCGATTTTCCGCAAGATGAGCGAAGAAATTCTCGCGACCCTGGGCGGCGGGTTGTACAACTAAATCCACAACATGAACATGTCATCGATTGTTTACAGACTTCAGCACCTCACGACGTGTGGCAGAAGTCTACGTATCGTTGGATAACACAGCACATGACAGCTTTACCCTTCATTTTAGGGAACAAGGCTGCCTGATGAGAGACTGTGTCAAGTTGTACGCGGTCTCTCGGATTCGCATTTTGCCTTTTGGGCTGCCAAGGGCAAACGGATGTTTGATTTGTCGAAATGCCATCAATGGCATCGCGCTATTCCATTCGACGTCTCGTTGCTGCCATGGAGATGCGCATCGTCACGCCGTTCGACCCGATCACGAGCCCGTACGACGACATCTTCAACTCGCTCGAGCCCGTCGGAAGACATGTGTTCATGGACCAACTAAAACAGGGCATTCTGCCGTACCTGCGCCTTGCGGGCGAGTCGGAGTGGCTGGGTCTGCCAGTAACCTCGCACCAGGTGACCGCTGTCCCGGCCAAGTTCCCTGCGTCCATCGTCCCGCACGACGCCATCACGGTCGACAACTCGGCGTGGGACGAATTGTTTGATTGTCGAGAAAGTGACCTGCCCCGCATTCTATGCAACCAGCTTGATCGGTCATGCCACGCCGAGCTCTCGCACCTGGTTATCGACACGACGGGCGACGCGAGTCTCTGGCGCCCGCAACAGCCGCCGCCGGGCACCTTTGGGTCGCTCGTCATCTTGCTGCCGTCGTACGTCGAGGGCGGGGAGTCTCGTTTGCGTACGAAGACCGCGTCGAGAAGTGGCACGGCTCGCGCATGCCGTGGTCAGCGCTGTCATTTGCGGCTTTTTACAACTCGACTGCGATGCACATGGCGCTAATTCTCTCGGGTCACGTCGTCGGTCTCGTCTACAATCTTGTGGGCAGTGATGTGTCGACTCCCGTCGTCGCGCCGTCGCTTCCGGTGGCTGCCATTGACGCGCTCTCGGCGTTGGCGCAGGCGGCGGCACCAACGTCTCCGGTGCTCGGACTTCACTTAGACCTCCAGATCGATGCAAAGCTGCGCGATCTGCGCACATGTGACTTGCCATTCCTCATCGCGTTGCTGGCCACCGATTCGTACGACGTGGTTCTCGCCCAGGTTCATGTGGGCGAGAATGGGGCATCCATCCGTTCCACCACGCCCTGCACGTCATTGCCGCGCGACATCGCTTATTACATTGAGAAGGGGAATTGCGTAAAATCGCCCACTTTGTCAATGGGCTTCTGGTCCACCAAGACAACGAAGGCGCGACCAAGCTCAAGGCACTGCTCTTTTGGCCCAAAGTCGCCCGCCTCACTCATTTTCACATGTATTTTTCAAGCATGAGTGAGAGCGACCGTGAAGACTTCTTCTTCCCTGGCCTCAACGACGAACGCGCAAAGCTCGCTATGGCTGTCGACGTGGCAGCCCATGCACCCTTCTGTGCGAGCTCACTAGAAGCGCTCGGGACGCGGCTGACGGCGCTGGGCAACCTTGATCTCATCCATCGCTTCCTCATGTCGGCCATTTACACCAACATCTATGCGTGGAGCACCACGTTTGCGCCGTGGATCGCGGTTTGGCTTCAACGCTTTGGACCAGTGCAGTTCGGAACGACCTTGATCGCCTTGATGACGCCGCTGCCGCAAGAGGCGCAAACCACTTGTATCGCACGCATCTCGCTTATTGCGAGCCTCGCGGGTGCAACGACAACGCCGATCTGCGACGCCGTGACGCAGCCCTTCACGCGCGACCTCACTCTTGCGTGCGCCAGCGCTCTTTTGAACGGTCTCGTGGACGCCACGCTGGTCTGCTCGGCCGTCGGAATCCGCCATGCCATCGAACTCGATGTGTACTTGCGGTCGGCACCAAGTAGCGCGTCATCCTGGCTCGCGCACCGCGTGTCGCCGCCACTTGCAGAAACGATCGAGGCCTTCTTGAGACCGCCATCGCTCAGCGCCGTCGTTTGCGCGCATTGGCGTCGGTTGGCCGACGAGCCGCCACACCGCGCGATCGTTTTCAGCACCGTCGTCACCGGCATCGCACCGCTGCTGGCGCAAGATCCAGTGAAGCCAGACGTCGAGCCATTTGTGTCGCTGGTCAAGTATCTTTGTACTACGATGGACGGCGAGCCATTTGCGGGGTTGAAATACGATTCTGATCTCTACGCCGCGCTAGTCGTTTTGCATTTTGCCAAGTGCTTGACCAACGACGTGGTACCAGGCTTCTGCAACACGGACGTGGCACGCATGGTGCGTGCCGTCCGCAACCTGACGGGGCAACGCCGAACCGAACACTGGACGAGACGCTCGTCCTCGCCAAGCTCGTGACCAACAGCAAGTTCTACTACCATACTCGAAAAACGCTGCTGGAAGTGCTCCAACTGCTGCACGACATGGCGCCGGCCCGCGCCATCTCGTTTATCCGCAAGTGGCTCAAGACGCGTTCCGATATGACCAAGGCGATACACGACGTGGTGTATCCGCTGCTGTTGCACTCGCGCGATGCGCTGCCGCGCCGCGTCGTCGAGCTCATGGCCGACGCGTGCCTCGGTCACTTTCGCAGCCAACCCATTGTGGACGACCCGATGCCCGTGGAAGAGCTTCGCCTGCCCGCTTGTTGTCGCTGGTGCACCGAGTTCAATGCGTTCTTGCAATCACGAATGCAAGAACTTTATCGCGCCGTGTGGACAGACGACGACGTGGCGTGCCCCAACGTCTTCGCTTTTGCCGAAGCGCATCATGATCGATTCAAGGTCGACGACCCCGTGACGTCGGGTGCGCGTCACGGGCGTACCATTCACATACTGAGACCACTACCGCCAATGGACGTACCGACAATGACGGCCAACCTCGAAGCATGGCGGATCGCAGCGCTGCCCGCCGCCATGAAGCGCAAGCATGACGCGATCGACGCGTAACCCTTCGTGTGTTTTGTCGACATTTTTTCTACCCCTTTTTAAAACACCACAATTGCATGACAACTTTCTCCACGTGACAACAATCCAGTGAGTGTCACCCAGAACACATGATGACGAAAGCAGCTGCTCCAACAACAGACCTATTACATGAGACAATTTCTTCCAGCGAGCTCTGCTCATTAAATTAAATTGACCCATTTCAACAACCACAACAACAATCCAGTGCACAGAGCTACCTAGGTGCTTTGCAACACTCGAAAACCTAAACCGAACCCTAACCGAGCCCTATCGATCGCATTTCGAGTCCAAGCCGACAAGGTTCTCACATGGGCTACCGGTAGAGCGATCATCGTGAACGATGCAACAAGAGTATAGACTGAGAGACGCCGCATTCGTCTCAGGTATCTTCAACGATGGTCTCCAAGAATCGATGATGTCCATGTAATATATTCTCACAGGAGGTGGTTTTTGGGTGGCGGAGCTTTGCTCGCACTTGGTCATTTGACGCCCCCTTTCCACCTGCCTTGCATGCTTTTGCGCTGCTAAGCTCGTGTTGTGTTCTCGCCTGGGTTGAGCCTTGCGCAGTGCTACACTGTACTGCTAAGTCTCTTATAGACTTTACAAAGCAGGCGATCCAGAGGTAGTTCGTCGAGTACCAGTAGTAGAAAACCTTTGGTTGCAATTGTAAATGCAGCACCGCCGAGCTCCGAGCCGCCACGACGGCAGCCTCAGGCCGGCAAGGGAGGGCTACGGAATTTATCATCCATATCAATGACGTATTTTAAACACGAAAGCAACGTACATCACATCCGTACTACGCTCGTTTCGGCTTGCTACAGTGCTCGGGCAATGACAATTATCTGGGGACTACCTCGTAGATTGTGGGTCGAATAGAGCATAGGCATTGGCTATAATTCATTCTAGGAGCACAGGCATTGGCTGATTTTTATTTATGAGGCACGTGCTGCCGCACAGGCATTGGTCTAAAATGAAATAATTCCATAACACTCGAAGTTCGTAGTCAGCAAATTCGACATCAATCTCGCATTGCGCCTCGCATGGGACGCGCGCCCCCGTGATCGAACCCGGACGGCCCGCTCGATCCATAGAGCCGAAAGGCTCATTGCCATCGACGGCGCGAGTGTCTGCGCGTCGTGCCAACGCCCCAGAGAGCACACGCTATGGTGCGAGTACACGAAGAAGGCACCCTCGCTCACCGCTCCGCGCATAATCCGAGTCGTGCAAGCCCCAAGAGAGGCTCCAGTCGGTCGCGTCGAGCCGCCGGTCGTCGAATAACCCTCCAACGTTGCACGACCGACGGA